AACCAAGTAGCTGGATAACAATTCCATTTAATGGGAGACCAATACAGCAGATGATTATTGTGGCTAACAGCATGATACTTTCAGAATTGATGGGTGTATTTTGGTTCTCATCCAAAGGATCTATAGAGCCAGACGCAGATCCTTCTGCATCACCGCTGAAATCCATCAGGAGGCTTCTGTAATGCTCCAATAATCTCTTCTTTTAGAATGGAAGTTGCTGTTTGAAAACAAGAAAGCAGTCAGGATTTATTACTTCTCTATAATTATCATTTCTTCATCTCTATCTTATCTCCAGCTAGACTGGGAGAACTTTTTGACCTCTATGAATAGTAATATTAAGAATTACAACAGATGAAGAGTCCCTCTCCCATAAACAATAAAACAAGGGATACTTTACAGACATCCATACCAAATCTGTCGTTGCCTGGGTCAACAAGAAGAAGGACACAAGATGCTGGAGCTTCTGGAATCTGGTTCCACGTAGGCTAAAGGATTCAGGAATGTTGGCTGAGCAACCAGGGCCAGCAGCTTCAAGGCTAATGGAACAAATGTTTTTACTAGTCACAAATATGCAAAGACTGAAAGCAAGTAATTTTTGCAATAAAGTTATTGTTAGAAGTAATAGGTGCCTTGGGTGCAATCCCAGAACATCTGCCCTGCCACATGGTCACCATCAGCATTGACAAAATCACCATCAGACAACTGCAATAACAAGCTTTGGGGTTGGGGAGAAGCTTAATCCTTCAATAAAACATTTACTACCTATCTTACTGACATACTATCAGATGACAATTTCTCTCTATCCCAAATCCTCGGGAACAATTGGATAGGTGGATAAAAATGTCAAATCCAATAGTACTTAGTAACAGCACTTAGACTTATATACCACTTCACAGTGCTTTTACAGCCCTCTCTAAGTGGTTTACAGAGTCAGCTTATTGCCCCCGACAATCTGGGTCCTCATTTTACCCACCTCAGAAGGAAGAAAAGCTGAGTCAACTCAGCAAGTTGAGTACTGGCTCCTTTGCCCATTCAACAATGCATTGCTCTTTGGATGGAGTTTTGATTCTCCTAAGCACAACAGAACAGAGTAACAGATTCAGAAGGTACCTTGGAGGTCTTCTAGTCTAACCCCCTGGTTAAGCAGGAGACCCTCTACCATTTCAGACAAGGGACTGTCCAATCTCCTCTTAAAAGCCTCTCATGATGGAGCACCCATGTCTGTGAAGTCATTTATGATCTTCCAAATGTTCTCAATATTACAAGTCATGGGGACACAAGTTGAATTGGGAATGCAGGAGCACAGATCCTCTGGCATAAGGGGGACAACAGCAAGCAAGATTGAGATTCTACGTCCTGTCATATCCTAAGAATTAAAAGACACACCTAACATCCAAAACGTTATCCAAAAAGCCCAACAGAGAATGTTCTTCTTGCACCAACTCAGAAAGCTCAGGCTTCCCAAAGAGCTGCTGGTACAGTTCTACAAAGGAATAATTGAGTCTGCCATTTGTACATCAGTAACTGCCTGGTTTGGCACTGCAACCAAAAAAGACAGACACCAGGGTCAAGGACGTTTAGGCATTGACCCTTAGCTGGATCTCCTTTCCCCTGGCCACCTGCCTCAGCCTATTTACAGCTGGCTCCACTGCTGGCCGTTTCCTGGCCATTCTCCATGGACAATGGGCCTCTGGCCCTCCACCCCTCACCTGTTGTCCCTGCCCATTTGCCCAGACACTCTTTGACCCAGTCCTTTGGCTGCACAGGACAAATAACCCCCAGATAATCAGGTGGCAGGCAGAAGCAATGGTACTATGCCCCACCTCCATTCCCCTGGATTCCCAGCCAGGTTTTCCATTTCCATATAAAACTAATAAAGGCAGGATAAAAACCTAACTAAATAAATAAAATTAAAAGTTGGATAACAAACTGAGAATGAGATTTTCATTTGGCCATGGAATTCTGTGCTATTAACCAATACCATCTGAATGGTTCCCAAGCCCTATCCTGAACTCAAGAACTGAAAAGGCATTTTGCTAATAACCATTACTACCACTCAAGTGCTCCCTTTACGGCTGACATACCTGGTGATTATAGGAGGAATCTCTAGGTCTAGGAGACACAGGCACAGATCTCTTTCAGAATCTAAGGGTCAAATGAGATTCCTGTAAGCTGCAACTGAAGAAATGACAATTGGAACAGAGAATGTATGTGGCCCAAGCCACAAGCTTAGGTAGAAAAACCCCAGACAACTTGCTTAATATCCTTCTTTGAATTTTGGAAGTTAAAATGTTCACACATACCATTTGCAAAGGCTTAAGCATGTGATTGTTACTTGGAAGAAGGAACAAACTAAAAAAAATATCTGACCTCCAACCTAACGTGAAAGTCATATTCGTCTTTATTTGGAAAGGTTTTTCAGTTGGCCAAGCTGAAGCATATTCCTCTGCTGATTTCTAGAAGAGCTTGAGATCCTTACATTGTTTCTGCAGGGGAATTGTGTGGGAAAATTCAAAGGCCTCTCTCTTAATGTATAACGATTTCTTTCTGTACTTTCTGAAGCTTTTTCAAAATTGTGAAATTTGACTATACGTTATCATTCAAGAATCGCTAGATAGTGAGAAGTGCAGCATATACATTTAATAAATGATCATCATCCACATGTAGAATGTGCAGATTTATAATAACAATGTTGGAAGGGACCTTGAAGGTCTTCTAGTCCAACCCCCTACTCAGGCAGAAAACCACTTCAGACAAAAGGTTATCCAATCTTTTCTAAAAAAAACTTCCA